CCCCCCCTCCCACCGCCGTCATCTGTGTGTTTTGTGTCTCTTGGATCGACCGCGCTGACGGCCTGACCAATGCATGTGCGTGTTTTTCTATCTTTCACGTCGACAGTGCTTACCGGCTGACCAATGTGTGTTTGTGTGTGTGTTGATTATTTGTAACGACCCCGCGAACCGGCCTGCGTATGCATACGTGTGACTTTTATCTCATTATTTACATCGATGGCGCTAACCGGCTGACCGATGAGCGTGTGTGTGTTTTTTTTTTCCATCGCGGACGTGCTGTGCTGCCGCGACCAAAAAAAAAAAAATCAGCCCGCGACGACGACGGACGCCTCTGGACGCGGCGGAACCAGCAACAACCCGGCCGCGACCTCCTCCTCCTCCTCCTCGACCCCCGGTAGCGCCAATGGCCCCGGGTCCTCCGGAGCGGCGGCCAGCGGCGGCCGGTCCAGCCGCTTCTCGTCCTCGTCGTCGACTCCCTCCTCCTCCTCCGCCACCCAGGCCAAGTCTACCTCTGCCGGTGGCGCATCGGGGTACAAGCCTGGTGCCAGCAGCAGCAGCAACAGCAACAGCAGCAGGGGAGCCGGTGGCGCATCGGGGTACAAGCCTAGCGCCGCTGGGAGCACCCCCGGCAGCAGCGGCGGCGGTGCGACGAAGGCCGGCTCTTCTGCTCGCGGGGGCAGCGGCGCTACGGCAACAACCCCTGCTACTGGTGCGACGGCGGCCCCCGCGTCCTCCTCGGGCAACGCCAGCGGTGGGAGCAGCGGCGGCCTTGGCAAGACCGCGGACCCACTCGCGTCGGCGGCGGCGGCGTATGCCGCTCAGCAGGCCGCTGCCTCTGCGGCCCCGTCTTCGGCGCTCGTGTCGTCGTCGTCGTCGTCCATGAACCCGCCTCCCGCTACCGGGGGTTACATGCAGCAGCCGGGCGGCGGCGCCGGCGGCGGTGGGTACGGGATGCCCACCACGGCGCCGGCGGCGGTGCCGGGGGCGCAGCAGCAACAGCAGCAACAGCAGCAACAGCAGCAGCCGTATGGGCAGGTGGGAATGTGACGACAGTTAGTTTGTTGGTTGTGGAAATGACGTGTTTGCCGAATGTCGAAGCTTAAGGTGTTTGGCCACTGCCGTTCCCGCTCCCTCAAGATCTTGAAAGGCAGGCACTGCGGTCCTTTACCCCCCGCCCCCCCCCGGCCACCCACCCACCCCGTTTTTGTCAACGCCGTCCTCCTCGACCAGCCCCCCCCTTCCAACGGTCTTCCCGGCTCAGTGGCCCCTGCACCTTACGGCACCCCGGCGAATCAGCTGCCGCAGCCGGCCATGGGACAGTACGGGATGCCACTACCGCAAGGGCAGCAGCCTCCGCAGCAGCAGCAGCAGCAGCAGCAGCCACAGGCAATGTCGGCAGCTCCCGGCCAGCAACAACAGCCTGCGGGCACGATTCAAGGGTACCCGGGGCAGCTGTTGCAGCAGCCGCCGCAGCAGCAGCAGGTGACAAGACCAGATTTTAGACGGAATGTTATTCTATTTTTTCTCGTCATGTTTGGTGGGTCGGTTTTCGGCGCAAGTGGTTTCGTGGCGCCGCAGCTGCGCCTTTTAGCTGCATCGTTGTGTTGAGGTTGTCTTTCACACCTACCGTTTTGTGTAGAAGCTGAGGAGTGAGTTAAGGACCAACCGCCTTCGTCAAAAGTTAAGTGTTACGAGGAAATACAACAGGTACAGGGGACGCCAACTCTTTTCCATTACCCCGACCCTAACCCAACTTTTCTAATCGATATCCTTCATCCAACTTGTTTGCTTGCTCGAAAAGAATTACGAAGGCCACTGTTAGCGAAGGGAACGCAATCAACTTGTTGTTGCAAGATTTGGGTGCCTCTTATTTTCTTGCAGTTATGTTGGTCTTCGAACGATGCCTCGAGTATGCCGCCAGAACTTTGCAGACAACGCTGTACGAGTGTTTTCGGCTCTGGTCTTGGCCGCAACGATTTTCGAACGATCTCGCCCTATTGTTGGTTTGTGACATGGTTTGTTCTCAGCCCTGGCAACAGCAGCCTGGCCAGCCGCAGCAGCAACAGCCTCTTCAGGGTCAACAGCAGCCGCAGCAGCAGCAGCAGCTTGGCCAGCAGCAACAACAGCCGTACCAGCAGCAACAAGCACCGCAGGGAGTTCCAGGGGGGCCGGGCGGCATGCCAACCCAGCAGGGGGGTATGTACACCGGCTATGGAGGCCCCGCTCCCATGCAACACCAGCAGCAGCAGCAGCAGCAGCAGCCTGGCCTACAGCAGCCCGGTCAGCAGCATCCGCAGCAGCAGCAACAGCAGCAGCAGCCTGGCCAACCGCAGCAGCAGCAGCAGCAGCAGCAACAGCAACAGCCGCCAGGCCAGCAGCCACAGCAGCAGCAGCAGCAGCAGCTGCCTCAGGGGGGGTTCAACCTCAACATGCCTGGCGCCGGATACGGCGGTCCCCCCTCCGGGCAGCAGGGTGGTGGCCCCGGTGGGCCCGGGGGCCCTCCGCGGGGTTTCAACCTGGGAGGGTGAGTTGGTGCACACACATTGTAAATACTTACGGTAGTTGTCGAGAGCGTCTACCTCACAAGCCTACAATATCGGGAAATAGCGATATGCCGGATTTACGTCGGTCCATGCCCGCGGACGGGAAGGGGGAGGGGGGGACGGCACGAGCCATCGTCTTGGTTGTGTATGTTTGTGATGGACGGCGCGCTTCCCCACGCTTCGCCGGTACGATGGGACCGTTCCTACGGTTCCTACGTTAGAAGTTTCCCGTGATATCCCGTTTATGCTGTCTCTCTAGCTCTCTCTCTACGTTTTCCCCTTACCCCCCCCCCCG